ATGATTATAGTTGTATTGTAATTTTTCTCTATAAACTGTGTTATATTTGTTTATTATTATAATTTAATTCATCTATTCATTCACGATTACAATGGATTCATATATGATTGCAAATATGTTTTATTTTGGCATAATTACAAATATTCGGTTGAAATGATTAATTCATCAATCTTTTTTATATATTGGAATTATTTTAAAAAAACGTTTTTTAATCATGGTAAAAAGTATTTTTTTTAATAATCTATTTGATTAAAAATAGATTAAATTCATTTCTAATATTTAGGTAAAAAGTCAATCAATTAGACAACATCCCATGATTATAGGGATTAATTAATTATCCATATTTAATTACATTGTAAAATTCCTTTTATGCCCTTATGGAATGGTTGGTCTACAATTGTTCTCGCGTTCTCAACCTTTTGGGTGTTCTCATTTGATTGTCTCCCTATATATATATATATTTAGGGAGAGAGAGGGGGCGAAAAGTATTTTTTAGAAACTGAGAAGAGGATATAATCTGTAAGTAAGATCAAATTAAAGAGCTACAACTATACATATTAAAACTTTTATTATTTGATTGGTTGAAAATCTTAAAAACAAGTAATATTAAAATATATCACCTAACAAATAATTATTACGAGGGTAAGTATATAATATCAGGGTAGTTTCCATGGGAATCCGTAGTAAATGATTTCAAAATTTCAAAAAAATCGCAACCGCCCCATGGTTCCAAGTCGGCCAATAACTCGATGCTTTTCCGTCGCTAATTTTGGGCTTACTCTTTTTGTCAACGTTATGTGCCGATGGAACTATTCTGTCGGAAGAAAAATACACCTCCCATGTTTGTCTACAAATCAAACATATTTCGCCGGCTAATCTCAATGCTACCAAAACAAAGCAAACTGACGCTCCCTAAGATTGCCGGCTCTCCAAATAAAACAAAATAAGCAAACAACTTCCTTAGTCGGAAATGGAATTGGTAGGTATCTAGCTGCCGCCAAATGATATTATATATATGAATATAAATTAAGCACACACACATAGTTAATTCCAGGCGACTAGAGTAAAAAGATAAATAATAAAGTCTACGGTATTGAAGAGGATGGATAGTAGTCGAGAGCAAAGATGGTCTCTTAAGGGTATGACTGCTCTTGTCACCGGTGGCACCAGAGGCATTGGGTTAGTCCTCTTTATTACTTGCCCCGCTTTTTCTTTCGTAAACTACGGGTTGAACATTCTCTTGATGATCGATAGTAATTAAATTCATGTTTTAATTAGATGTTTTTATAATTCTTTTTGTTGTAGTTATTCAATAGTGGAGGAATTAGCAGGATTCGGTGCATCTATACATACGTGTTCTAGAAATGCAAAAGAGATCAATGAAAGGCTGGAAGAATGGAAAGGCAAAGGGTATCATGTTACTGGTTCGGTTTGTGATTTGTCTTCTAAAGAACAAAGGGAGGAACTCATGAACACTGTCTCTTCCATTTTTGATGCCAAACTCAACATCCTTGTAAGTCGTGTTGAAGGTTAAAACTAAATTATGAATATATTTATGAATCAATAGAAATTATTAATCTAATTAACTCGTGTTTTTTCAATATCGATTTTGTGTTTATATTAGATAAACAATGCTGGAGTTACCCGAATTAGAGATGCAACCGAGCACACAACCGAGGATTACACATTTATAATGGGGACCAACTTTCAATCTCCTTTTCATTTGACTCAACTGGCACACCCACTCCTCAAGTCATCCGGTGATGCTAGTGTTGTTTTCATCTCTTCCGTTTCTGGTGTTACGGCTCTTCCTTCCATGTCCGTTTATGCAGCCTCTAAAGGTCATATATTAAACTATTCAGTTAACAGCTTTTTATAAGAATAAAAGACGAATCAAATGTCGTTGGTTAAATCGATGATTCATTCCAGGTGCTATCAATCAGTTGACCAAGAACTTGGCTTGTGAGTGGGCAAAAGACCATATTCGGACCAATACTGTCGCTCCATGGGGTGTCAGAACCACCATTTTGAACTCCGTAAGAACCTTAATTAAAAGGTCTTCGCATCACACTTAGACGATCATTTTTCAAAGATTTTTAGATTTGCAATACTGCAATTTTCTTGCTTTTGGAACTATTGAAACTTATGCCGTGCATGGATGTCTTTGGCTGTACGTGAATCATATCAAACAGATGCATCCTTTCGAACTGGCTCTAGCCGATTCATTCTAAAACAAACATAATTTCATGTGTGTATATTGACTCATTACTTACAGTCTAGAACCCGTTTAATGTATGATATAATGAAACAGGAGAAGGTTGATGAAAAAAATATTGAAGCATTAGGGGCACTGATGGCTCGCACTCCACTTCGGTCATCTATGGCAGAACCTGATGAAATATCTCCGTTGGTCGCATTCCTTTGCCTCCCGGCAGCATCATATATTACTGGACAAGTTATTGTTGTGGATGCTGGTTACACAGCTGGTGGGTTCAAATAGTAAGTTGATTATACTATCGACAAGCTAGAAAACCACCCCATATATAACATTACAAGGTTCAAGGAGAAACTACTTTATATTGAATTTGATATCCATAAAACCCATCGGTATACTGTTGTAATAAGAATGATACTTGTAGCACCCAAAATCACAAATGACATTTGAGTGGAAGCTCAAACCAAAAAACAAATAAGACACGGTATTAAAATAATGAGAAATCAAATATCTTTTTATCTTTTGTTCTTATCAATCTTTCTATTCATTAGATCCAAATGAATATCATAATCAAACGAGAAGATTAAGAGAGGGACTTAATGTATTCTACATGTTATTATTTTATATTTATATGAGTGAGACGATTTGTAAGAATATGTTTATCTTCTCTACTAAAACTGATGGTATGAGTGGGTGAAACGTTTCTTTCTTAAGCTATGATTCGATTAGGAAAGCATATAACCGACAGATATAATTTCATCTATATAGGCTTACAACTGATAATCCTTAAAACACTACAAAAGAAGAATTTTTTCTTTGATAGCATGCATATTGATGCAATTCATGAAGAATGGTAATCTTTTGTTGTTAGTTAGTATTTGACAAACAATATTTTTGTTAACCGTTAAATGTTAGTTAGCATTTGACATGTGTATAATATTTTTGATAACTTTTTTGACATGTCGTTATTGGATTAAATTAAACATTTTGGTATATATTTGTCTATGTGTTTTTGTATTACGCGTAAAAACACGTCGTAAATGTGCATCATAAATGCGTGTCATAAATGCATATCGTAAATACGTGTTATAAATGTGTATTGTAAATGTGTTTTAACATCACAAAAGTCAAGAATATTTTTTTATTTTTAAATCAAGTAAAATTATTGTTTTCAAATACCATCCAAATCAAAACCATTCGATTACTAGAACAATGTTCTCAAATAGAAATCATATATCAGAGTGTCCCCTAATCAGTATCATCAAAACCAAGAGGATGTGCACGATCATGCCGTCACCTTGCCACGATCATCTTATGTACCTGAAACAATAAATTAAAACTGTAATCACAAAGTTTAGTGAGTTCCCCCAAAATACCATCACACGAAAAGATAACGACATGCATACTGGGTCCACAACCAACATACTAGATTACCCTTGAGCCCACAACATGAGTCTGACTTGCCTTCTGGCCCACACCTCATGCTTGGCTTGCTCCCGAGCCCACAACATAAGTTTGGCTCGCCTTACTGTCCCACAACTTATGTCTGGCTTGCTCCCGATCCCACAACATAATTCTGGCTTGATTTACTGGCCCACGACTTATGTCTGGTTTGTTCTCAGGTTTTTGGCTTTCGTACAGAGCATGATTGCCTTAATACAACCATAATATGTCGACATATTCATTACAGATAACATATATCCAGCAAATAGATAATCATATAGACAATCAATAGACAAATAAGCAAATCTACAGATCATTACAACATAGAAAGATCCTACAAGCCAAGACACAAATCTAACATATCACTACAACATAGCAACATCCTTTATATTAGGATACATAACCTAGTGGGCCAATATTGGTGCCTTTGACCCACAAGTATAGTGAGGAAAACCCACCTAAATCAGAGAATTCTGAAACAATTGCGATACGATCCCTTTTACTACTTGCGCCCGCGAATCCAGTAATCACCAAAACCAGGTAAAATCTCAATCAATAGCCCTAAACCCTTAAGTTTGACCTAAAATCAAACTTAGTCAAAAGTCAATGGTCAACGGTTAACAAAAGTCAATAGTCAACCTCCCTCACGACGTGACAATCTATGGCTTAAGTCGTGAGCCACTACATGATAAAATAGTCAAGTCCTATAACCCTCACGATGTGACATGCATCCCTCACGTCGTGAGATCCGTCTGAGTGACATTTTGATCAAAAAACTTCTTAAAGTAACCAACTTTATGGAGTCCCAACACTCTAAATTTTAAACCATGGCTAAACATGCACAAAACCTTAGATCTAGCAACAAGGAAACATAAAGTTTGGATCTTGGTTATTCATAATGGTCTAGAAGTGTAGCTAGAGGTTGCAAATGGAACTTTCAAGCTGATACTATGCTTTAATGGTGATTTCTTCTTCTCCAAGCCACCAAAACATCACCAAAAGTTCAAGAATCACAATGAGAGGCTAAGGTTAGGATTTTACTGAGCTTAGGGATGAAGGAGGCTGTTTTGGAACCTTAAAATGAAGTTTATGGGGTTTAAATATGAAGGAAACCCTAAAAGATCATCGTCTTGGGTTGCTGTACATCTCACATCGTTAGCCCTTATTGCTCACGTCGTGAGCTCAACATAATTCAACATCTTCATTTAATCACCCCTCACGTCATGATCCCCCACTATGGTTACGCCGTGAGTCCTGGTTTTACCCAAAAACGATGCCTTTGACTCCTTGAAACCAATAATCGATCCAATCTGGAAACCAAGTGTTACAATTCTCCCCTACTTAAATCTGACCTCGTCCTCGAAGTCACTCCTTGCCACTCTCCAGACATACCCGACAATTTGGACTATGTATCCATGACCGTGATCTGAACTGAGAATTTGACTCCTTCATGCGACTACCTTCCCATACAAAAATTGAAACCTAGTCTAAAAAGAACTACATATCCTGGCTAATAATGAATCTTTGACCCACTATCTTTAACCCTTGAAGAGCAACCATTGCTACTCTGTTCGAAATTCGGAAATCCAAAGCATTGACTTGTTATCCACTACCATTAAACCCTCCTCCCAAGATGAGTCTCTACTAGAAATCCGTTGTAGAGAAACATCAACGGCATATTCCAAAACTCCCTTAACCACCTCAAAGTTAAGGCTTTATATAAAGAAAATTCGAGGAACCACTCGGAAGCCTGCAAATGCCAACCAAAAACTCCATAACTTGAAAATTCCCAACAACAACAACAACCAAAAACTCCATAACGTGATCTTTCTGTCCCTAGAGTCCAGATCTATGTCACACCCCCCAAACCAAGGATGGCGGAAACGTCCGGGGGTGGAGGACTTCATGTATAGCATCATAACCACAATTTTAATAGTAATTTAAGCAAACACAACCAACATATATATAATTGAAAAAGTTACATCACTTGTATGAATTACATGTTTCAAAATCAATTACAATATGTTGTCAAAATGTGAAAAGTTTGACGCCTTAACGTCCCATCCTCAAAAGCACTTGATAACTTGATTAGTGTTTTCTTTGTGAATACAAGTTGTTTGAAAAGTGTCAACACAAAGGTTGGTGAGTTCATAAGCTTTTATTAATAAACTTAGTAGAAGTATTTCACATGTAAATGTCGCATTTGTTTCAGAAAAATCCGATATTTCCCTTGAAATCCGAGAAATGTAGCCTTATAACCAAAGACTAGAGTGTATGAGAAATCATCGTTTCTTAGTAAAAATGTTGTGAGTTTAAAATGTTGTGGAAAGTAAATTTCTTTTATCAACCTAAAACCTACTTCGGTTTTATGAAACCCCGTAAACTTCACGAATTGTTATCCCCCTAAGTGAGTCGCTATAATCATACTGTGACTATGTGAACCTGCCACAACGTTTCTCAGGCGTCGCGAAAATGAAATGACATTTGTCACCCGTAGACCTGCAGGTCCCACTGTAGCTAGCAGCAAGGTGTGGGGTGTCAAACCCAATATAGATCTATATACAAGTATCACGTTCTCCCTCAAGGAGATTCTGATTATAACTACCAGGAATTATATCCCGCACTCGGACGTACGGGAGAGAGAGAGAGAGAGTCTCACAACATAGGTTAACAAGTTTACTTGAAATGTGTGTGAATATAAATCTTTCTTGTATGAATGTACCCTTTTTGTACGAGTGCGTTGAGTGATGTATCACAAACTATACCTATTATAGTTTATCTAAAGTGTATGTAATATGTATGAACTCTTTTATGGAAATGTATTAGTGTTATGAATTTATCAAACTATACTTTTTATAGTTAAATAATCCGTGTTCTAAAATGAATGAATAATATTTAATATGAATGTCTTAGTTTCAGTTCATAATGATAAACTAACATGGAAACACATTCAAATATTAGAACTTATGATTATACACTTTGCTCAACATAATACAAAGTGTTATGATGTTTACATGCTGCTGGCTAAATTTAGCCATTCTGCCCTGTTTTTGGCAAAATCATAGAAAAATCATACGAAGTCAAAAACTAGATCCGTAAATTCTGAGAGTTCACAAAATGTGTCTAGTTTACTCATAATTTTTATCACAATTTTTAATGACCTCCAACTTGGGTGAAAAAGTCCAAAATCACAGACTGGTCCGGATTGTTGTTTGAAATGATAGGCAGTTTTGTAAAAATCACCATAAATTGTAGAAAGATCGTATGGAGATGTGCAAGTAGCCATTTTAAAGCTAAAAACTTGAACTATTTGCACCTTGTACAGTTTTGAAAACAAAAATGTTTAAGATGCCCAAAACAGTCCGTGAATGGAGTTGAACTTTTCTGATGTAAGCTGTTAGCAAAATTTAGTTATGTTCTTAGTGTTTTAACTTGTATTCCCCCCCCCCCCCCTAAAAACTTGAGAAAACATGAAAATGTAGGGGTATGAACTCACCTTGAGTGATTTCAGTAGATGATGGTTGAAGAATGGAAGTGTTTAATTCAAGAACACTTGGAGATGATTTGGGAGAGATTTCACATTCTTGAAGAGATTTCCCATACAAAGAGATATTTGAGAGAGGTTTCACATACTTGGAGAGATTTAGGAGAGATTTGACATTCTTGGAGAGATTTCTCATACAGAGAGATATTCGAGAGAGATTTCACATACTTGGAGAGATTTAGGAGAGATTTGACATTCTTGGAGAGATTTCTCATACAGAGAGATATTTGAGAGAGATTTCACATACTTGGAGAGATTTAGGAGGGATTTGACATTCTTGGAGAGATTTCTCATACAG